TCTATTTTGAGTAGTAGATTGTAATCATCTCAAGTGGTCTTAAGTTGCCTATATAAAACATAAGCACTCTCGGGAAAGAACTCTCCTTCTATATTTCCTACAGATACATGTATCGCAAATAACTAGATATATATATTACAGAACCCTAAAAGACTCCGTGAAAAATTAAGAGACTATTGAAAGACAAAACATCAATATGTGAATGCACTAATTTCAACAATGCCCCTTAGTGCATTTATTGGACAACTCTAATGCCTTCTCGAAGATAAAAAATCTTTTCTTTCGAAAGTGCTTTAGTGAAGATGTCAGAAAGTTATTGTCTTGTCTGACAACAATTATAACTGAATTTCATCTTTCTCTTGTTCTTCCCAATATCTCCTTCTTGATTGAGTTTGGTTTTATAAGTCCACTTTAAACTTATAACTTCTCTTTCTTTGGGTATATATTCACATACACTCAAGTTATTTTTCTAAATGATTCAAATTTTTTATGGTAAGACTTTCTTCTAAACATCATGTTTTATTGCCTCCTCATAATTTTCTTTCTAAACAAAAGCAAAATTACATCTTAGATAAATCTCACTCAACGATTTTGTATGTCTTAGAGGTGGTTCTTCATCATTTGAATCTGAGATTTCTCCCCCTTGAGGGTCATCTTCCTCTTTCTTATCCTCTTTTTGATTTAATACATCTAAAAGATATGATAAAATTATTCTCTAACAAAATCTCAATATGCATCTGCGGAAGGTCGTTCACTATGTCGTTTTGCTTGAGAAGCTTTCAGACCTTGAAAATTCAAGTGACAAGATCTTTTGTGCCAAAGTCATGAATCAGCTGCAACTTCATTTTTGAATGCATTGTAATGAAATTACAAAGGAAATTTTCTTTTTATCATCTGTACTTCGATAATGACTTGATTTGGATCAATTTTATAGCAAATCTTGCACTAATTATCGCTAAACACAAGAGTAACCAATTTCCATGAACTGACCAATACTAATCAAACTTTCATGGGTACCATTATAAACTACATGTATCTATAGGAAATGTAAAAGGAAAATACTTACTTAGAGAGTGCTCAAGATTTATATAGGCTATTTAAGGTTACTTAAGATGATTACAATCATCAACTACAACCCTATTTATACTACTCAAAATAATACATTTTATCTTTTGCACAATTAACGAGATACATGTATTACAAAATCCTAAAAGACTTCTTGAAAAACTAAGAGACAATATTGAAACACTAAACATCAAAGTGTGAATACACTATTTCCAACAATTCCACTTAATGCATTTATTTGACAACTCTAAGGTTTCTCGAAGATGGAAAAACTTTTATTTCGGAAGTACTTTGGTGAATTTCGCCTTTCTGTTGTGCTTTTGAATATCTCCTTCTTGATTGAATTTGATTTTATAAATACGTTTTAGACTGACAAAGTTGCATTTTTGATAAATGTCACTCAACATTTTTTTTACCTCTTGGAGGTGGTTCTTCATCAGAATTTGAGATTTCTCACCCTTGAGGGACATCTTCCTCTTTCTTATCGTCTTCTTGATTTGACACATCTATGAAAAGCCTTTTTAAAGATATAAAACTTATGTTTTAAAAGAGCTCACGACAGTGTAAATTGTTATATGTGCTACAAATGACATTTCTCAAATTACTAAGAGTTCAAGTCTTCTTCTCACCTAATAGGAATGTATTTTCTTGAGGACAAGAAATAACTTATGTTTGGGATTTTAATAAGTTGGTGTTTACCAACTTAATGAATCTCTTGGAAATTGATAATTTGGGGACCGGAGTTGATACATAGTAGAAAAGAAGATCTAATTCTACTTTTAGCTTATTTGAGAAGAAAATTATACAACTATTAAAGCTTAGGATTTATTTTACTTGAATTGAAGCGATCTTGGGAGGTATTTTTTAATTCATTGGCACAGATTTCAATGTACACATTGGGAATCTCTAAGTGGTTTTGATGTGCATGGAGGCATTGGTTTTAGGGCTAGAAACTGTGGTAGAACCTCGCTCATGGATTTTGCTAGAGCTTTTGAGTTGGTGAGAGCTAACTTGTGCATATTAAAGAAGGTTGATCAATTGCTTACCTTTCTTAGCGCACTGACTAAATCACATATAGATTACTTGCTTATGAGGAAACAATATAGAGGAATTTTTATGAATTGCGAAGTTATATTTGGTGAGAATCTTACTACTCACATAAGATTTTTGTTATAGGCATGGATATTAAGCAAGGACTGATAAAAAAAAGTTATAAGTCAGTCCTAGGAATAAATAAGGGAGGAGGTTTGACAATTTTCCTCTCCAATGAAATTTGGGAGAAGTTTATGATGATTGCAGCTTGGAGGAGTAGTGGGGAAGCGGAAAGAATGTAGGATAAGATAGCTAGTTGAAATAGGGAAAAAGTTAGAGAAGTTCTTGGGGTGTTGAAAGGTAAATTTGGTGGACACCAAGGGTGTTAGTGGTGGAATGGAGAAGTTCAAGAAAAAGTTGAAGCAAAAAAAGTTCAATGCAAGCCAACTGCACAGATGAGGAAAAAATATTGGCAAACAAGGAAATATATAAGGTGGAAAGGACAAAGTCTAAGTGATCAGTTACAACAGCTAACAAAACATCTTTTTAAAGACTGTATATTAAATTAGGAGACAGGTGGAAATAATAAGTTCTACAAGCTTACGAAGGCACGTGAGAGAAGGCTTGAGACTTGACTTGGATCAAGTGAAGTGTATCATAGATGAAGAAGGCGAGGTGATAATGGAGGAGATCTTCATCAAGAAAAGATGGCTAGCATACTTTTATAAACTATTAAACAAAGAAGACATACTTATTTTGTTGGGTGAGTTGGATAACTCAGAGAGACATTAGGTTTTTGGGTATTGTAGGCATATTAAGGTTGAGAAGGTGAAATGTGATATTAGTAGGATGACCAAGGGTAAGGTTGTAGTAGCACTTGGAGTGGCTTCTATGGTGGATAAAATGAGGGAAGTGAGATTCAGATGTTTTGAACATGTGAAGAGTAAATGCAGACACACTAATGATAAGGAGTAATAGGTTGGTTATAAAGGATATGATAAGAGGTAGAGGCGGGTCAAAGAAGCATTCAGGAGAGGTGATAAGACAAGATATGATACAATTTCATAATATTGAGGATATGACCTTAAGGTAGGAGGGTGTGAAGGATGTGTATTAAGACAAAAGGTTAGTAAGTAATGTAATGTTATCTTGCACAGTTTGATGGTGTTCGCGATGGTACTATCATATTATTTTAGTTCTTTTTTTATATCATTGTTTATTATTGTTTTCAATAATATGTCCTAGTTTGTTGTTGATTGTGTTTTAATTATTCACATTATTTTATTGTTTTTTATCTCTTATATGGTAATCGTTACACTGTTCCTTGTTATTTTATATATTCTCTTGACTGTCTCCATCTTCTTTATATCGGGATTTGTTGTATATTAGTTGAGGGTCATTTGGAAAATGTATGCTTACCTCCATAGGGTGGTGGTAAGTTTTGCAAACATTCTACCTTCCATAGGCCTTACTTGTGGAACTTCACTAGCAGCGACAGAACCACCATATCTTTAGGATATTTATCCAAACTCCCTTCGGTGAAAAATTATATTATTTTTACATGGTTAAAATAATTATTTAGGTATATATAGTATATGTCAACTTCTTTCGGTTATTTCGTATGTCTATTTCTTCAGATTTTAACCCCCTTATCGAAAATTCTAACTTTGTCACTGTTCAATGGTTATATTATTGTTGTTGTTAGAAGACATCCTCCCCGCCCCCTCTCTTAAGACCATTGAGTCAGTTTGATTAAAACTAAAATTTAACAATGTCTTCTTGTTAGAGAGTGTGTATGGCCTCACTTCATTAAAATGGCCTCAAAACATAAACTTAAACAAAAGACAAAAGTCTCAACTAACATAAGATAGCAGGAAAATAGGAAAAATCCTAAAACCACAAGCCAAGGTCCTTCAAAAACCTAAAGCATATGCTCTAAGTCAATCTCCCCAACAAAGGAAACAACATTGCTCTAGATTGATGTACGGATTAATTAAAGAATACTGGCGGCCAATGCACCATTCATATTTGATTCGATTTTTATATAGATGCAGTTTTTTAAAACCACTTATTAGAGACAAATCCAACATGTGAGAGTTTGATATATCAAGGTAAGATACTATTGTAGGAAACATATGTTGTTGTTGGTGAACTCATGAGTCAATTGTAGATATCTATTATTGTTGATAATCGAAAAATGCAACAAACACTTCTCTTTTGTGGGGTTTTTAACCCAGTCGCCCATGGAGTGAACCTTTGTATGACCTGCTATGGCATGACTTGAAGTGAGGAATTGCTTGCAATTGATGCATTAATACAATAGTAGGATGTGTAGGCTAAACTCTCTCACAATAGGGGATAAGTTCCTCCAACTCTCGCTTCTTCATTGTTTTATTTCGGAAAATATTTTTTTTGCAAGTTTTTGACTTTTTTAAAGTCGCCACTTAATTTTTAAAGAAAAATCAAGAAAACTTTTGTTTTCAAAGGACTTGAAACAGGAAATCAATTGAAAACTTTAAAAGAGTTCGAGAATTCTTATTTATATTTTAGAAAGGTTTTTACGGCACCTAAAACACTCGCTTAATCGCGATTATCCTACAACTAACTTGTTTGGCTAAAAGTCTAACTTAATTTTGAGATAGAAATCATTTAGAGTTTGTTTGAAAGCACACCATTAATTTTACTATCTAATTGAGATTTTCAAATTTTTATTTTTATTATTATTGTTGTTGTTGTTGTTGCCGCTACTGCTGTTACTATTACTATTACTTGATTGATTTAGATAAGTCATTAAAACGAGGTGGCATCTTGCAGGCATTTGAAATTTCCTAACTTAAAACTAGTAGCAAATATCAACAAGCAAATAGACGAAAGCAAATGGAGGGAGAGAGAGAAAGACAAAGTTGGGTCCAAATTCGGTTTTTGACCGCTTGTATCGATATTTGGACCTATTTTTGTTTTGTACATGTCCTAGACTAATCAGACAATTAATAAATAATAAATATAGAAAACAAAAGACTACAGGGGCTTAGGTAGGCCCAAAGATGATAAAATACAACGTTAAAATAAATTTGGGATTCTTGGCCCAAAATCTTCAACTTCTTGGAGTTTTGAGTCCTTCCGACTTTAGGACATGTACGCCTTTTTCGGGGTCAACTCGAAGGTAGCAATTTGAGTTTATGACTAACACGGACAAATTCACATGAAACGGACAAAGCAAAGGGAAAGGAATTAGCATAGGGTAGGATTCAATCTCTTGGCAAAATATTTTTAAAACACAAGTTGCATAAATGAGGCAATCCACGTAGTATATACCAAATAACTCAAACAAATTTTAGCTAGAGGCATGATTACAAGTATACGACAAGCAATTAATGAATAGAAGATGGAAACTGCAAACATAATTAATCGACCAAAGAATAATCGGGAAGCGAGGAGACGCAAAATATTTCTCACAATTTAACATCACAAAGCAAATCAATTGAAATACAAATGGTAATAGTAACACTGCCGAAAGTCATTTATTTATTATTTTTATTTATCTTTTTTTTTTAAAGAAAAAAAAAAGAAATGAAGGCCTCAAATTAACAGCATGACAACTATGCACTTTCATAACCGTGTAAGCAGCAAAAATTAAACATTAATCAACAAGATGAACAAATACAGACAGAGGGAACAACATTATGTCAAGATGAATATTCTCATACTTAAGTTATGATCTTAATCACAAATAAATCACACTTCATATTTTTTTTTAAAAAAAATGCAACTATAAAAACCCCTTCTTACATTGATCCAAACATTGAAACAATAAGAGATTCAATAATTTTGAAGCAAAGTAATAAACCTACAAAATGAAGTCTATCTAAAAGAACCCGAGATTGGACTATACAAAAACCCCAAACTCAAAGGTACTACCAAATTACCTTGCTCATAATTTTAAAGTGATTTGAATTACTGCTTCATCGACAAACACAACATTTAATAGGTTTGATATGAGAAATAATGCAGCAAACTTCAGTCCGAGAGGCAGACAACCAACGGACGTTTAAGAAAAAAAAACTACTTGAGAAAGTCACCCTGATGCCTTGATCACATGAGAACGCTACTGACACAAACTCAGTCAACAGAGAGGTCACAGCATTGAGCATAAACCCATGGAAAAGGCTTTAACTCGACATTGCGACTCAATTGCTGAAACGACTAAGAAACATATACACATCCCATCATCAGCAAGCTTGCAGGTATTAACAATGAATGGTCATAAGACCAAAACTTTTCAACATTTTGAAAATATCACATGAGGAACGAAGGTGAGAGGATACCGAAAAGGAGGGAGTATTACATGAAGTAAATTATTTCGACAGGTTCATATTAAAACTATGACAAAACAGACCACTTTTTTGAAGCAAAAATGAGAAAGACAGATCACTTACTTAAGAGACCACATCAGATAAGTTAGTACGAAGTTCTAATCTCAACCTCCTCGGACATGGGTCTTGGGGAGATTAAATTAAAGGGTTAAAATGCACAAGAAAGAGCTTTTACTGATCTGTAAATGATTCTTTGTGAAATGCTAAAGAGCAGCCCCGGAAACACTTAAACAAAGATGACGAATAGCCTTAAAATACGTACAGAGAAAAAGGTGATGAATATAACATAATGCTACTATTGATAGACCACGAAATCTCTAACAATATAAGTACAACATTATCTTGTCCCCAAACTTAATCACCAAACACTTCCAAATATGAAAGAGAACACTGTAGCAGACAATAAAATCACGTGAAAGGGAAGCTATTACCTACTTTTTTGCAGCGATACTGGATATAGACGAGTAGTGATAGCGACTCCACAACCTCTGAAAACGCGAAGACGAATGAAAGAGTGTAAATCTGGATAGCAACTTAATTCAAACGTGTAACTGTGAATCGCTCTCTTTTTTTTCGAAACATATTCAGCACACATTCAAAGAGACGCTTTTGCTCGAATTTTCCTTTTGCTAAGCAGAATCAAACTAAAATTCCTTTCTATAAATTTTTGTCCGTCTTCTTCACTATGAATAGAAAAGAATATATATGGGAGAGAGATTAGGGTTTTTTCAGATTTTTTGGGGGGAAATGGAAAACGGATAGATCAAGTCCTATTCCAAAAAATTCAAATCTTAAGAGAAAAGCTTCACCATTTTTGGGGAAATCTCTTTTTCTGGAGTTCTTTTACCACAATCCGAAAGAGCAAAGGGGAACGGACAGCTTGATCGATTCCATCATCCGTCGGGTGTGACTGAGAGTGACGTTTGGAGAAGAAAACAAAGTTGCAACGTACTACCTGTACCGCTCGTCTCTTTATGAACGTCGGCGTGGCTGATTCCGTCAACTCTCTCTCGCGTGCGTGCAGGGTTGATTCGGGGTTGCTTGGACGTTCACGCGTCGTTTTCCGTTTACTCTGTTCAAAAGACACTGATGAAATTTCATGCGCAAGGTTGGGTCGGGTTATGGGTTATTTGGGCTGGGTCAAGGTGTTATGACGTTGTTTGGTAGGCTGGGCTTGTAAATTGGATTAAGGCAGCTGAATTTGAAGTTGATGTTGGGCTGTTGGGATTGAATAGAAATGGGTTGCTTGGAGTTTGGAAATTGAAAGAGTGGGTTGAGAAAAATGGCCCAAATCAGATTTTGAACTTATAAATTTGTCTTTTGGGTTACGACTAAAACCAAATGAATTTAGAACGTAACCAAACTGAGTAAATTAGCAAATTTGGCTAAAATTTAAGTAAATGAATTGATATTAATTAATTAACAAACCTCTTAACTTTAACAAGATAAAGTAGCCAACTTAATTATAAACTAATAACTCAAAAAATGTAAACTAACAATTTAGACAAAATTAATTTAATAAAGTATTAGGTGAAAGAAAAATCCTTTGAGACGGTTTTCAAATCTTTATAAAATAAACTAACTATACACAAAACATATGAAAATATATATCACTTCGAAACTATAAAATTTGACTAACACTACATTAAAATGATTTGAAAAACATTTGGTCAACTATTTCAAACTTGTTTGGAATTTAATAAACTCGTGAATTAATTTGTACAGGGGAGGGCCAAAATTGGGTGTCAACATTCATGACCCCCAAAACTAATCACTTTCTATCAATTTGGGAAAATAAAGTTACCTTACCATGAACATATATAAATTAATTAAGGCACATGAATAACAATAAAGTCTCATTTTGACGGGCACACATTTTTTTATCTCCTTCGAAATAATTTCACCTAGATTTCAGGAAAGAAACAACTGAATTCCTTTTCAATATTTAAATCACATCACTCACAACCTTAGAATACCATAGATTTGCATGGAAGACCCTTGAAATATTCTAGGCTTGTAGAGTATTCAAGAAAGGGGTAATATCTGTAAATAAGTACGAACTTACAAAATAAATATTATTTTCATTATAGCCACAAGTGACTAATACAAATATAGAGCCATTCATAACTAAACGAATCAAGCAAATAATTCAAGTTCTCTCAAATACAAATCTCCCTCGCAGGAGAATTATGAGGGAGATTTGTATTGGAGAGAACTTAAATTATTTGGTTGATGTGTTTAGTGATGAGTGTTTCTCTATTTATATTACTTACTTGGGGCTAAAATAAAAATAATGATTTTTTATGAATAAGGTCATACATATTTACAAATAATTCTCCATTCTAGAATATTTCAAGGATCATCTATGCAAATCTGTGGTATTCAAAGGTTTTCAGTGACATGATTTCAACATTGAAAAGAACTTTAGTTTGTATGGTTTGCTCGATAACTATATAGAAGTGGAAGAAACAGTAGTTAAAAGGGAGTGTCAATTGCTATTTGAGTCTCTCGGTTGTTTGTTTTCTGAAATAGTTCATGAGGTTTTTGCTTCCTACCATGCTAGGATGAATCATAAAAACTATAAGGTGTTGGTAGATATTCATCCATGCTTAGGAAGTGTTTTGGTTCAAGATATAGTGGTTAATTGCACAATAAAGGTCATAAACTATGTGTTTTATGATTTTCTAAAAAGGTGTTGGATACTGAATATGCATATCAGATGGAAACAAGGAGGATCAATGCCCATAAATTGCAGATTATAACTCACGGATGTCTCCTTGGGCCACGTGGGGTGGCACAATAATAAAGAAAGATATGACCATTCAAGCTAAGCATTGGCTCAACTTTTTGTGTTCTTTCTTGATTCCTTCCAAGAATGATACAAAAATAGCTATTCATAAGGAGTTACTTGTGACTTGTATCTTCAATCACATCTTAATAAATCTAGGTAAAATTATTGCGGAGGAGATAAAAAAAAGTGTGTTCGTCAAAACGAAACTTCATTGTTAAAGAATGACAAAAGTATCATGTTGGTGGTTAATGACATGGGTGGATTCCTTATAATAATTCGGCAATTATCCGTCCTTTGAGCTAGATTTTGGGATGTGAGTTAGGCGGAAGACTTAATTTAGCAGTATCTAGTTAATTGTGCAAGACTTATTATTTTCTACTTTCAGTACTATAAATAGGGATGTAGTTAATGATTGTACTCATCTCAAGTGGCCTTAAATATCCTATATAAAACTTGACCACTCTCTAATAAAGTATTCTCCTTCTATATTTTCTGCAGATACATGTATCACAAACAAGTAGATACATTTATTACAAAATCCTAGAAGACTTTCTGAAAAACTAAGAGACGATATGGAAATACTAAACATCAAGGTGTGGATCAATAAATTTCAACACTCCCCCTTAATGCATTTACTTGACAACTCTAATGCCTTCTCGAAGATGGAAAAGCTTTTCTTTTGGAAGTGATTTGGTGAAGATGTCAACAAGTTGTTCTCTAGTCTGACAATAATTACAACTGAATTTCGCCTTTCTCTTATGCTTTTGAATATCTCCTTCTTGATTGAGTTTGGTTTTGTAAATCCACTTTAGACTTACAACTTCTCTTTCCATGTATTATTTTTTAAACCATCCAATTTTTTTCTACCAAGGCTTTCTTCCAAATATCATGCTTTATTACTTCCTCATAATTTTCTTTCTCAACACTGGCAAAGTTACATCTTTGATAAATGTAGCTCAACAATTTTGTACCTCTTGGAGGTCGTTCTTCATCATATGAATGTGAGATTTCTCCCTCTTGAGGGACATCTTCCTCTTCCACTTCTTGATTTGACACATCTAAAGATATGATAAAATTGTTTTGTACCTTAATCTCAGTATGCATATGAGGAAGGTCTTGCACAATTTCATTTTCCTTGAGAAGCTTCAAACCATGAAAATTCAAGTAAAAAAATCTTTTGTACCAAAGTCATGAATCATCTACAACTACATTTTCAAATGAATTGTAATAAAATTGCAAAGTAAATTTTCTTTTTATTATCTGTACTTCAGCAATGACTTGATTTAGCTCAATTTTATCATAAATCTTGCAATAATTATATATAAACACATGAGTAACCATTTTTCATGAATTGACCAACACTAATCAAACTTTCATGGTTACAATTATCAACTACATGTATCTGTAGGAAATATAGAAGGAGAACACTTACTTAGAGAGTACTCAAGATTTATACAGACTACTTAAGATCACTTGAGATGATTACAATCATCCACTACAACTCTATTTATACTACTCAAAATGAAAAATAAAAAGTCTTGCACAATTAACTAGATTTATGTATTACAAAATCCTAAATGACTTCTTGAAAAACTAAGAGACAATATCGAAACACTAAACATCAAGGTGTGAATGCATTAGTTTCAATATTCATTAACGTTCATGTGCCTTATTTCTATCAACTGCTTGAATGCTAAGGTAACGTTGTTGTCCCACATTGATAAAAATGATTAGCTTTGGCGCTTATACCTTAAGGAGCAAGTTGGAGTTCTAGTGACAACACAAAAGTGAGGAATAGTTTAAGGAGGCTTCAGACATTACTGCTCCTCTGACAACACTCCATGATGAACCATTATTCTAGTTCGGTAGTCCTTACTCCCTACCTCATGTATGCTTTACTTTATGAATTAGGGACAATGCATATTTTTTAGTTGGGAGCTTATTTTTGTTATGATATTATGAGATATATTGATGGTGTCAAGTTCATGTCCGGTAGCCCAATAATGAAAAAAGATCTGACTATTCATGTCAAACATTGCCTCAACTTTGTGTGCTTTTGCTTGATTCCTTCGAAGAATGAAACCAAAATAGCAATTCACAAGGAGATAATTGTGGCTCGTATCTTCAATCACATCTTGATAAGTCTATGTGAAATTTTTCCGGAGCAATTAAAAAAAGTGTGTACCTGTCAAAAAGAGACTTCATTGTCATACATGTTATGATATTATGAGATACATTGATGTTGTCGAAATTCTGGATTGGTTGTTGTTTTGATATCTTTTTGACACATTTGTATGCCCTTGGTTGCATGATTTGTAATTATTTTATGCCCTTATAGGTGATGTTTCTAATTGATGTCTTATTGATGTGTTGATTGATCTCACTAGGCTTGTTTTCATGTTATATGGAGTGTATTCCTAATTTGCCGCTTATAAATAGTGTGTCAATAAACTCCATGGATATGTTTTCATGACATCGTTCTTTTTCGAGTTGTGGATTTGTTTTATTGTATTGATTTTTTATTTTCGAATCGAGTGGTTTTTCCAGTGATTTATTCGAATGCTTCTTATTTCGAAAAAATAAGAAAAGAAAGGAGATATAAGGGGTGTAAAGAATATAAAGTTGGTGCATGTATAGGCTGACAATTTATGTTTGAAAAGAGCTTACAACAGTGTAAATTGCTATAGATTCTACTTTTAGCTTATTTGAGAATAAATTTACTTTAATTGAAGAGTTATTAATGATTAATTATTTACTTAAGAAAAGGGTAAAATTTGTAAGAAAGATTCATTAGCAAGGACTTGGGCTTTTGCCCATTTGATAATTACTGCTAAAAATAGAATTATTTACTCGAGCTAAATTGATTGTTTAATTAGAAACATTTTGGGGTTTGAAAAAAATAAAAGTGAATTGCCTTTGTACATTGAGAATTGTAAATTCAGGCAAAGTCAATGTTACCCATGTCAATATCATTTGATAATCAAATGTTATAATCCAATTGGATGATATAGACTCATGTTATCACATCTTTAGGTTCTCATTCTCAACTGTTTGAATCAGATTTTGTAATATAGTTCAACTTAAACATGTTAAATAATTTTGAACTTTTGATCAAAATCATCCATTTAAATTATAAAAGCTCCAAAACATGGAAACTTACACAATAACCAAAGGAACAACTAGGTGATCGGACTGTCAGTACCACCGAGTCATAAGATATGATAGAATCTAGAGACAACGGAAGTTAAAGCAAGAAATTCATGAGTGTACTAAGATAAAATTAACCCAAGTCGTTTCTTGAATAAAATGTGACCAATTAACCAATCAACAAAACCACAAGTACATATAATTAACACTACAATAAAAATAACTTTAGCGGCAATATATATTGACAATAGTAAAGATAGCTAAAAATTTTACTGAGTTATTTAAGTGCAATGAGAATCAATGTCTCTAAAGGTTTTAGGGACATATACAAATAGTGCTAATTGTCGTTAAAAA